CTCTCTCCTCTCTCTCTTTTTTCTTAAGTCACTTTGAGTTGGGATTCTGTTTCTTTTAGTTAAAGGGATTTTGCACACACCCACCTTCCTCCTGACATTAAACATCCCTCACCTCCCCTGCTTTGGCTTGCCACTCTTAGTCAGCCCAGGCTTTTACAAAAGACAGAAAAAGCAATTGACTTCATGCTGGTTCTCAACCCAACAAAAAGCACCTGTTCTTTAGTTTGAAGTGAAGAAAAGAACTAAAGGAAAATATAAATTAATCTCTCAAAAATATATCTGTCCCACTATAGCTTGGAGATAATGTTAGCGGTACAGCTCGACAATAAAGACCAGAGGTGGGTGAGTTGATCTGACAAGCTCCCAAGGGTTACAGAGAAATGAGACGCTCCTGTTGTGCACTGATGGCGTACAAGAGCTGCACCATAAGGAGAGCTACAGAAGATGTGCTGCTGGGTGTGGTGGCACATACCTGTCATCCCAAGTGTTGGGAGACGGGCAAGATGAGTTCACAGAGCAAGTGCTTTAAAAAACATAGTGGCCGGGCTTGGTGGCGCACGCCTTTAATCCCAGAACTCGGGAGGCAGAGGCAGGCAGGTCCCTGTGAGTTCAAGGCCAGCTTGGTCTACATATTGAGTTCCAGGACAGCTGGGGCTACAGGGAGACCCTGTCTCAAAAAAAAAAAAAGAAAAAAGATAATGCTCACACTTAGCTTTCCTCTCCTCTCGGTTAGTCGTACAGTCTGGATATCATACCCTACTTTTTCCATCCAGCACAGAATGTATTGTCAGCTCAAGCAGAGAAAGCAGTAATGAGTTTTCAGTGTTGGGTTTTACTTAAAATGTTGAAAATCTACATATTCTGGAAACAAACAAAATAAGGCTAATGGATTACCTGTCTGGGGCTCCTGTTTGAAAAAAAAAAAATGTTGCCTAAAAATTAACCAGCTTCCACCCAGGAATTTTTCCCCCAGTGTTTTAAGACAGGGTCTTATAACATAGCCCTGACTGGCCTTGAACTCAAAATTCTCTAGCCTCAGCCTCCCACCTAGGATTTCCATCAAGGTTGGGTAAGGACCCTCTCACCTCTGTTCATATCATAGCCCCTGGGTGTCCATGGCTTTGTGAGTCCCTTACTTTTTCTGACCTACCTAGTTGGTATTGAATTTGCACAGGTTTTGTAACCCAGAGTACCTGATGATCAATAAACAGTTTTTGTGTGGGAAGTTTGGTTGTTTCTGACCTGGCCTGGGGTGAACATCTAAACGACAAGTACTACAAGGCCCAGAGGTGAGAACTCCAAAACTAAAGGTTCAAGAACTGAAGACTGACTTTAAAATGGCTGGAATAAGAAAAGCTTAGTCACTTACTAGCTGATTGACTTTAGGTGGATCACCTCATCTCTGTCAGCCTCCCTTCCAAAAAAGAAAGACTTAGAGGGTTCTGAAACTATGGGCCAAGCAGTGGTTACATCATAATCACCTGAGGCCATTGTTCAGGTTCCTGTTCTGGCCCTGCTCTGGGCCGTGAAGATGAAAACAGATGCTGCCTTAGCAAGCAGCCCCAGGTGATTCTAACCATACCTGAGTTTAGGAAGCGCTGGAGTGAATAACCTCAATAGCACCTTGCTGAGGGGTCACTGACCTGCTGCTGGGTGGCCGATTTGGGTGGAGCTGGGACTTGAAGGGGTACACATTGTCAGACCTCCCTTCCAGGCTCCTGGTTCAAAAAGACCCTACAGAATCTAAAGAGGAAAGCTAGCCAGTCTTGGATGTCTCTGGTATCTTTCCCCAGTTCCCACCACAAGAAGGCAGCAGACACCTGGGCTCTACTGGTCTAAACCATATTTCTCTGCTGACCCAGAGGTTCGAAAAGTGGAAAAGAGGGCCAAGTCCTGCTTTTGTAGTGGCTAGAAATGCAGTTTGACTTGGCAGAGGTGGTTACTGACCAAGTGGTCCAGTGGTCCCTTCTTCCCTGGATGAGGAAGCTTTTCCCTTGCCCTGCCCCAAGCTGCAGTGGTGCAGTCTGTTACCTTGGAGACCAGCTAACACCTTGGGCAACCGTCTCCATAGAGTTGCTTGGATCAACTATAAGTGGGAACCAGGAGAATCAAGGTCCTGAGGTGCCTCCTTGGGAAGAGCAGGAAGTAAATGAAGAAATGCAGATAGAGGTGAGTATCACAGGGTTGGTAGGTGGGAAAGGGGAGTTGGGGAAGCCCAAACCAATCTGCTTCCTAGGTAGCAAGCATTGTACCAGGTGCCGGGCTCTGCCAAAGTCACCGAGACATCTTGACCTAAGGTTGTGAGGGGAAAGCAAAGAGGACTTCTGCAGAATGTCCACCATGGGGCTTGAGAATAACAAAGAGGATTCTGGGTTTCCTTGGCAGACAAAGGGAGCACAGGGTGTTTGTTAGAAGCAAGAATGGCCTGAGCGCAGGATGATATAAAATAATAAAGTTTGTAAGCAGAGGTTGCCAGGGTGCAGAGGACGAGAGGGGAGGGGGAAAAGCCAGGAGTGGATTCTGAAGCAGTGGCAAGCCTTGGGAAGAAGGTCTGGCCTGATTGACTTAAAGCACCAAGAACCTCTGCCTGGTTCTTTACAGGAGCAATAGATCAACGGCATACAGGAAAGCTCATTCTACAAGGATTGCACAGGAGCAGAGTACTAGAGGTAACTGCAAATAAAAATACAAGTCCTGGGCTGGTAAGTTGGCTCAGCAGATAAAGGCACTTGCCACCAAGTGTGGTTCTCAGGCCCCATGTACTCCAGTTGTCTTCTGGCCTCTACAAGGGCACTATGGCATGTGTGTGTGCAGTACACACATACTAAACAAACATACATGTAAAAAAATTACATGCCCTGCAGATGGCCTTATCATGAATAAACAAATATTTAGAAGCATCCTAGATTCAGCTATAACTAACCAAGAAGTTAACTGAAGACTTTCTTGTATCCAATAACAATGTTTTTAACCAAAATGCTATTTGCCTAGAACCAGTTCACACATTCTCCTCTAGTCCGACCACTCACCCAGAGTGATGCGGTCCACCTTTGCCTGAACTCTGGACCTGCCCTTGCAGATGATCCCAGTGATTATAGAAGTGAAACCTGTTAGGAATTCTCAGCAATCTTCATCAGAAGGAAAGGGGGCCAACACTAACTGGGGGGGCGCCAAGCCACTCACAGAGAGAAGAGCAGGCATTTCATCTGGTGGTTGGAAGGGTCCTGGGTCCTCATGAGTCAAGAGGATGGATTTAAAACTTTTTCTTGTGGTTTAAGGGGATTTTCTCTTACAAGGTAGCTTGGTCCCTGGAGACAGCCTAGCCTTCTCCTCTACCTGGTGGGTTTCCCCTTTGCTGTAAGATAAAGGGTTTGATAACAAGGGAGAAGGACTCAGTGAGTAACAGGCCGTAAGGATTAAGGATGAGAACCCATTGCCTCATCCCCAGGATGTGCTACCCTTATTGCATTTATTCAATGAATGTTTTTGAGCAGCTGCAATATTCTAGATATTATTTTATGCAAAACAGCCTAGCAGTGAACATTACTTCCTGCCCTCCAGGGTCTTACATCTAGTGGAAGGGGCAGACAGTAAATGCACAGGTCAGACGTTGAAATACAGTATGGAGGGGGTGCTTCAGAAATGTGCTCACAGACTCCTCTCCAACAAGGTTTCATTTAAGCCAGGATCTGAAGGTAAGGGCTGTGTCCTGTTCATCCTGTCTCTCTCAGGACTAGCTCTCTCTGGCCACCAAAAAACACACTACAAAAGTGTATGGACGGGCTGGAGAGATGGCTCAGTGGTTAAGAACACTGGTTGTTCTTGCACAAGACCCAGGTTCAAATCCCAGCACCCACATGGCAGCTAACAACTGTCCTTAACTCCAATCCCAGGGGATCTGACAGCCTCTTCCATCCTCCACAGGCATTGCATGACACAGGTGCACTTACCTACATGCAGGCAATATACACATACACATAAAATCTGAAAAAAATAAAATTTTTAAAAAGTATATGAATTTGGGTTGGAGAGGTGACTCAGCAGTTAAGAGCACTTGCTAGTCTTCCGGAGGATGTGGGTTGATTCCCAGTACTTACATGGTGGCCCTGTCACCCTCTTCTCACCTTTTCAGGCACTACACACATACCAGTAAACATACCAGCAATCAAAACACTCGTACAAATAAAACTAATTTGAAAAGCGCATGGGATCGATGATTGCTTCCAGCCTTGTGCTAAGCACTTGAAAATGCAGTGCGTGTTTCATTCCACATTCCTGTAATACTTTGCATCTGGCAAACTGTTTACAAAGTCATGAAGTGGGCAGAGTGGTAGGTGCAATTCCCACCGCATTCTGTAGCTGAAAAGCCGAACATGCAGAGTTCTTTCTAGCTAGCACACTGCATTGTTAGTCTGATGTGACCAGCCCTCCCAAATTTGCCCACACAAGTCATCCCACAATCCAGTAGTGTAGGTCTCTGAATTCTTTGGAGACTGCTAATTGCTCCCTGCGAAAGGGGAACTGAGACACTTGGGGTGGGGGAGTTCCAATGTTCTAGAGGCATTTCTGTTTTAAGGGCTCATGCCATGGCAAGGGTCTCCCAGGAAAGCTTGCTGAGGTGAAGTCAGTTTTATTTTTTATTTTTTATTTTTTTTGGTCTTTTTGAGACAGGGTCTCCCTGTAGCCCCAGCTGTCCTGGAACTCACTATGTAGACCAGGCTGGCCTTGAACTCACAGAGATCCACCTGCCTCTGCCTCCCGAGTGCTGGGATTGAAGGCATGTGCCACCACGCCCGGCCAGTTTGACTTATTTTTAAGACATTACCACATTATCCTGGTGCTTCCCAGAAAACAAGCATCTTCTGAATAAAGGATTAAAGACGAGAAAGGGAAAAACAAGATCTGCACAAGAGTGGGCCCCTCAACATTATTGGCGGGGGGCGGGGGGGAGGTTACTAGGCCCCATCCTTCCCTGAGGATACAAATGCAATTAATGGTTTCTGAGGGGAAGGAAAGGCATTTCCTTCAGTGGCATAGCCACTAGTAAGGTGCCTGTGCTCCTTACTGTAAATAACCTAATAATCTTCTCCACATTCCTATAAGCAGCCCTAATTAATAAACTCAGTGGATCACAAAA